GGTCCACCTTTAACTCCCAGCTCACATGTCACAATTACTTTGCCACTTTGATGCACATATGCTTTGCCAATCTACAAAGCATCGCTCCAGGGCAGCCCCAGGACCCATCTCATGCTTTCCTATTGAAGGTCTCCTTCCCAGCCCCTGCCACGAGTCCCTTCTTTGAGGAAAATCTAACCTGCCAGAAGACTTGCATTGATAAATTATTAACTGACTCTGCCGCACATCAGTTTTAACCAATTCATGTGGACTTTATCACCTGCATGCATTTTTATTGAACTAAATCAAAGCTGGAGAGATGACCAAAGTAAGCAGGACTCCCATCTCATCTCCAACGGAAGAAACATGTTGTATGTGCCAGATACTCAGGGTTAAATTCACATTTTCCACTGGTGCCGTCTTTTTGTCTTGTTTTATTTGGTGTGTGTGTGTGTGTGTGTGTGTGTGTGTGTGTGTGTGATTGTGTTTGCATGTACATGTGTTTGTGTGTGCACGTACATGTGTGTATTGCATTTATTCTGTTTTGCTTTTTGGAATTATGTGGCCCAGACTACTTTAAACTTTCTGCAAAGGACAAAGAGGCCAAGAACTGTCTCAGCATCCTAAGTGCTGGGCTGTCAGGTATGTACTGCCATGCCCAGTCGTACTGGCATTTTTAAATATAGCATTTCAAATGGATGCTGAAGGAGCCCAGCTTCAGCATTTGTCCCCGGATGACCTGTCTTCTTTCTCACTCTTGTGTCGATGTCACACCCATCTTCACCCCACGTTGCATTGTCATGAAACACATTTCAGTTCTTGGGCAGTTTCATTTGTAAACATGCAGTGATGCCTCCAGAAGACAAAGGCCTGCTTTCTGATAGCTCAATTGATGAATAGCTGGAACATAAGAAGTTGTACAGAACTGAAGTCTGTGTTTGAGAGGTTTGATAGCTTTATAAATCTTGAAATATTGTTACAATTTAAAACAAACACAAGGCTGAGTGTGGTGGCACACGCTTTTGATCCCAGTACTCAGAGGCAGAGGCAGGTGAGTCTCTGTGACTTCAAGCTTAGCCTGGGCTACATAGTGAGTTCCAGGGCAGCCAAAGCAGCATAGTGAGACTCTGTCACAAAAAAATAAAGTAAAATAAAATAAACACAACCATCATCCTAAGCTTCCTTGTGCCCTTTTGTGGTTGCCATAGGCTGCTTTATTATTGTAGGCTAACTACACTTTGTAGAGTTTTCTGTAACTAAAGACAGAGCACACGTACTCCATTTTAACTCATAGTAATTATCTTTGAGGTTTAGTCACGCCACCATGCTTCTCCATAATGGTTTCTGTGTGACCAAGTGGCAATTTGCTAGTCCATTTGCTGGCTGGGGTACATTTGGGTGGTTTTCAATTCTTGACAATACAAACAAAGCGATTGTGGATGCTTGAGTACAATTCCGTGTAAACATGTGATTTCATTTCTTTGACGGGGTGGAAACAACCAAGAGGAGAATGACAAAGTCACTTGCTAGACACCTTTTAAGTTTTTTAAGATTTGCACTTATTTGTTTATTTAGTGTGTAATGTCACCACGATGTGCATTTGGAGGTAAGAGGATGGCTTCTGGGTGTTGGTTTATCCTTCTGCCAGATGGGTCCTGGAGAAGGAACTCAGATGGACAGGCTGGCAGCAGACACCTTCACCTACTGAGCCATCTTACTGGCCTTCCTTCTAAAGTTTAAAAATGCTCTTTAAAGGGCTCATTCCAACTTCCACCCCCAGTATCTGGGAATGGGGTTCCCTGCTGCTCCCAGATCTTTGCAGATTCCCTGTAAGTGGCACCCATTCTGGTGTGGTGGACCTTGCTTGTGATTGTCATAGCAGCTGCCTAGTGACTAACAATGCTGGGTCTTCTTCCATGTGCTTATTCCCAGCTCTAGACATTCTCTGGTGAGTATCTGTTCAGATCTTTTGCCAATTTAAAAAAGATTATGTTGCTTGTTTGCTTTAAATCACTTCTGGGTACAAGCCCTTGGTTATAGATGATGCTTTGCAAATATTTTCTCTCACTTCTGTGGCTTTCTCTTCTATTCGCCTAGGCATCTTTTCAAAAGTGAAAGTTTCTTTTGTTGTTGTTGTTGTTGTTATAATGAAGCCCAGACCAGGGGCTTTTTCCTGTGTGCATGTGTGTTTGTATGTGCAGGTTCATGTGTCAGCAGGTACATGTGTTTGTGCATGTGCTCACACATGTAAAGGCCAGAGGACAATCTCGAGTGTTGCTCCTCAGACATGATTCGCCTTAATTTTTGGAGACCATGTGTCTTACTGGTACCTGAAACTCACTGATGAGTAGAGTCTGGCTAGCCAGTGAGTCCCAGGGATCCACCTGTTTGACCTTCTTAGTCCTGGGGTTAGTAGCATTTGCTGCCATGTATAGCTTTCTTTTTAAAACCTGAGTGCCAGGAAATGAACTCATGGTCATGCTTGCAGAGCAAACATGTTACCAACTGAACCATCTCTCCTCACCAAGAAGCTGTCTTTAATGATTTATGCTTTATCTATTAAAACATTGACAGTTCAGTGACAAATTCAAGATCACTAAAATTTTCTCTTATGTTTTCTTCTAGGAGTTTTAGGTTTTGTCTCTTTTATATCCATGATCTGTTTTGAATTCATTTATCTCCATGGTATAAAGCAAGGCCTGAGTGTTTGTCAGTTTGTTGAATGCAGCTGCCCAGCTCCCTCCAGCATCAGTTGTTGAAGACTGTACTTTCTACACTGGGTTTTCTAGAAACCTTTGTCAAAAGGAATTGACCATGTTGGCATCAATATTGTTAAATAATTAAAGGGAAAAACAGAACTTTTTAGTTAGCTTTAAATAAGAAATGCAGGCTTGCTGGGTGGTGGTAGCACATGCCTTTATCCCAGCACTCAGGAGGCAGAGGCAGGTGGATCTCTGTGAGTTCGAGGACAGCCTGGTCTACAGGGTAAGTTCCAGGACAGCCAGGACTGCTTCACAGAGAACCCTGTCTCAAAAAACCAAAGAAAGAAGCAAAGAAAGGAAGGGAGGGAGGGAGGGGAAGGGAAGAGGAGGAGAGGGGAGGGAGGGAGGGGAAGGGAAGAGGAGGGAAGGGAAGGGAAGGGAAGGGAAGGGAAGGGAAGGGAAGGGAAAATGCAGACCTTAAATTTCAAAATCTCTCCTCCTCCGAACTGGGGACCTTGCTCCCATTTTTAGAGAGGAGGAGGGGTGGGACCCCTTCTCTCACCTTGCTAAGGATGAGAAGAATTATGAAGTTGACTCAAGGAATGAGTCAGAAGGGCTGTTTGAGTCACCCAGCAGGCCAGCTGTGCTACTTCCTTGGGGAGACCCCCAGGAGACTTTAAGAGGAACAGCAGGATGCACAGAGGAGTTCAGGTCTGTGAGTGGTGTGGACAGTGGCTTAGGTAAACCAAGTCGGTTAAGGTTGTATCCTTAAACTATGGAAATCCTGAGGGATTCCCTTCCATCTCCCCCTCTCCATTGAAAACATAATCCTCTATTGTGTTTTGGGGGGTAGTAGAAGGGCACACATTAGAATTGTGCTAAGGACAAAGCTTGAAAGTCTTCTTACAGCCTTTCAAGCCATGACTGGCTTGAGGAGCTGGTAACCAGTGGAATGAAGGAGAGTTGTGAATCTAAAGCAGAGGCTTCAGCCAGACCCCTGGGGACTAAGAGCATGCAGCAGGGTAAAGGACACCCTAGAGGTCAGAGAATGCTCCAATCTACAGGGGCCTGATCAGGAAGGTCATGATGTGCTCAGTGGAAGCCAGCTTCAATGTCCAGTTGGAAAATGTCCCCAGAAGGAGGGCATTGCAGAGAAGACACTGGAACAATGAGTGAGCTAGCTCTACATACTGAGATTCTGGTATGTGGTCTGTGTAGCTTATGTGTTAATCAAGGTTCTCTAGAGCAGCGGTTCTCAACCTTCTTAGCAATGCAACCCTTTTATACAGTTCCTCATGCTGTAGTGATTCCCACCCATAAAATCATTTCTTGTTACTTTATAAGTGTAATTTTACTACTGTTATGAATCGTAATGTAAATATTTAATATGCAGGATATCTGATATGTGACCCCCTGTGGAGTCACAACCCACTGGTTGAGAACTACTGCTCTAGAGGAACAGAACTAATAGAACACACGCACACACACACACACACACACACACACACACACACACACACGTGTGCGTGCTCAGTTAGGTCTGTGTAGTTCAATAGTGGCCACATGCAGGCTAGTATCCCATAGCTGCACTTTCTATGAGGCCAGGTTCCTGAGCAGTCCCAGTCTGATGCTGAAGTCCTAGAGAGTTCCTGGAGAACTATGGGTCTTCAGTCCAATGAACCTGGACTCTGGTGTCCCAACGTCAGTAACGGGTAGAGCAGCGGAGATGTACTTGCCAGCAGATAGTGAAGGCAAGCAGGCAGAAACAGCTTCACATTCAAATCTGTGGACTGCTGCTGGGAGGAAGGGGCTGCCCATTGTGGAGAGGTCTTTCCCCTTCTGTTAATCCTTCCAGGAAATATTCCTGTAAACCCACCACGATGCGTGTCTCTTAGCTGATCCCAGATCCAATCAAGTTGACAACCAAGATCCACTTGCAAAGCCCAGGTCACTAAAGACCTCATTAGTATATGGGGTGGAAAAACACTGGGACTGGAGTGGCCCGTGCAGTCACTCCTGTGAGCCCAGGGTCCCCTGACAAGCTGGAACCATGTCTCAGCTGTGACCGAACCATGTCAGAGGGAGAAGGCAGCCCGCGACCCTGTAATACTTGGCTGCTGCCCAATTGATTTCCTGCTTCTTCTCCTGAAACAACTGAATTTTCATAATTTAAGAAGGTTAATTTTCTCTCATTTTCTATTTTATCTCAGATCACCCTTGATAAAAATTCCGTGCAAAACAGTGGAGAGTTGAGATTCTCTTATATTCAGGAAAATTTGAAAAAAAAAAAAAATCCCTGAAAATCTTCACCCAACTCACCTTTCAAGCCCCAGCAGGCTTTGGCCAGTGCTTCTTGACTTTGGGAGCAGCTTGGACTTCATGAGTTGCCCTCTGCACAGATGAATCCGAAGAGTGTGCTCAGGATCTGTGACTCTGTCTCCTTGAAAGAACCACAAAATAACCAGCTTATGAAAGGTATTCAACAGCATTGGCCATTAGGGAGATGCAAGTAAAAAACACAGTGGGGTCCCACTACACATAAATGCTAGCATGGCTATGATAAAACAAAACAAAACAAAATGTGGAGAATAGTAAGAGTTGACAAAAGTGTAGAGAAATTGAAACCTTTACTCATTAATAGGAATGTATAATAGTGCCATTGCCGTGCATAGAAAGCCAATGGAGCCTCTGAGATCTGAATTTTAGAGTGATTTTGTGACCCTGCCATTCTACTCTTAAGGGAACTGAAGACCTACACACTACTGGAACTTGCTGGTGCAGTTTAAGACAACCCTCTTCACAAAGCCAAAAAGTGGAAGCGAACCACATGTCCCTTATGACATGCCTTCTACAGCATGGGCAGACCTTGAAAATACAAGCAGAAAGAGGTCCAGATCAAATGGCCATGTTACATGATCCCACCCACAGTTGGGCACATTGCTTTGCATGTTATTTGTACATAGTTTCCCTTGTCTATGTCTTGTCTTCTTGGTGGATTTATAGACACTTTGGAGAGGGAAAGTGGATTTTGTTGCATTGAAACCCTTCTCCTCACCATCCATGGGGTCATAAGATAGCATACACATTAGACTGTCCATAAATATCCAGTTGAGATATGAATTAAACCATTCAGAAAAGTCAAATAATAATAACAGCCCACAAAAGAAGCTGTTAGCACAGTCCTTGCTCGCTCCATGGTGGCTAGGAAACAAAGAGGAAGCCACTGAAGGAGCAGGGCCAGGGTCTGTCTTTCTGGAATACACTTACTGTACTTCCTAACTCTACCCTACCCGCCCCCACGTCCACTACCTCCCAATAATGAGGCCTTGGAGTTGTGGCTCAGTCAGCGGGTTACTGCACGGATTGTATCAGAGCTTTTGTGATTCAATGACTCTCAGTGATAGGACCCCACTAACAGCAGAGCATCTCTTCCAGCATGAGCCTTTGGATATGTACTTCATGTCCAAACCATAATATTTCTGGTCCCATTCTGATCCTAGACCAAGTGCTGCATATTGGAGGCATCTTTCCTAATGGCTAAGTACTAAAGTCATACCCAAGATGTGTTTTTGGTTTTTTTTTTCCATCTGAACTTCCCAATACCCTAAGTGCCAGCTTTGAGTCCCACTCCCTGGATGCAGAAAAGTGGGCAGGATTTCTACTCGGGCAATTGAAAAGTTTCTTCCACCCAGGAGCTCTTAAAACAAATCAAGTCCAGCTGTGGGTCAGGGCAGGTGCCTTTCAGAGTTCAAGCAGACAGATAGACCAAGGAATGCATCCACTCTCTCCACTCAGCATTCACTTCCTGGTCAAATCAAACTGGCAAAGAACAAATAAACTTTTCTTTACTTATAAAAATTGGTGGAGGGCTGGAGACATGGCTCAGCGGTTAAGAGTACTGGCTGCTCTTCTAGAGGTCTTGAGTTCAATTCCCAGCAACCACATGGTGGCTCACAACCATCTGTAATGAAATCTGGTGCTCTCTTCTGATGTGCAGACAGAACACTGTATACATAATAAATAAGTAAATCTTTAAAAAAAATGGTGGAATTTGCTTAAGTGCTAGTAAGAGCTGATGGCGGGGCTTCCGGGTACTAGAATTTTTTTTTTTTTCTCTGAAGGAAGAAATTGAGCCTGGAACCACAAAAAATAAAAGGACAACTGGCCCCTGGGGAGGCAGCCCTGGAGTACAGAGAGCTCTGGGGCAGCTCTCCCGGGTTTGCTCTCCCAGGTTAGCACACAGACGGAGAAAGGTGCCGGGAGGCAGGGCAGACACTAAGCACTGGGGTCTTTGAGAGGGCGCCAGGCAGCAGGAAGTCCGGAGGAGGCGAAGCAGGCCTGGGGTAAATTTACCCTCCTCCACCGCGTCGCGCAAACCGGTCTTTCTGGCTTCCCTGGGGTCAGAGGGCAAGCTTCCCAGCAGGTTGTAGACTTTCTAGACTTGGGTCCTGTCCTCCTCCCTCCCCAGGGAAGGGCAGGGCAGGAAGTTTGAGACACTGAGCTCCTGGGTCACTCAGAGTCCCCTTTCTATGCCCAAAATGAACCTGACAGGAGGAAATGGAAACCACTGCCTTGTGCTGACACTCTTCCAGGGCTGAGAGCTCTGCTCAGGGCAGTGCACGGTTTCTCATTGGCTCTCACACTTGTAGCTACCAAATTTACATGTAATTAAAGGCCCTGGTGCTGACTGACTTTCCAAACATTAGAATTGCCTAATTAGACACAGGAGGCCTCCTCTTGAGACGGTTTAAGCAGAAGAGGCCTTGAGAGGGAGGTCTTGCTCAGGGCAAAGCTTTGTGTGTAGGGCATAGGCTGGGCATGGAAGTTCCAGGGCAGAGGCTGGGCAGAGCTGGACTATTCTGATTGGGTAGGGATGAAGATGGAGAAGCCGAGGAAGCAGCTACCACTCCAAGACAGGCTAAAGAGAAGAAATTCCATTAAAATCCCAGTGGATCACTGAGAAAGGACAGGGAGCCACAGGATGCTAACAGGGATTGTTAGCATCTGATTTCCGGTTCACCCAAGCCCCTGGTGAACTGCTACACAAATGTTACTCCTTAGCCCAGAGCAGTGCCAGATCCTTCCTTGAGAGTGGATTTTGGTGCAGATAAAACAGAAGGGATGCGTCTGGAAGGAGGGGAAGTAGGAAGGCGGTGCCGCTTCTCTGGTGCTGTTAGCAATGTAACTGAATATAAAGGGTTTGTCCTAAAGGCTATCACGTGGGTGCTTGCTGTGCACCTCTGGGACAGCCTGGACAAATGAACCTGGTGAGACAGGACCCTGGGCCTCAGCAGCCAAACAAGGAGCAAAAGTTCTGTCCTCATCAGTCTGCTGCTCTGCAGCCAGTAGAGTAGCTGGAATATGCTAGGTGCTCCCTACAGGAACTGGTGACACTGGCTGGACTTTGAGGAGATACAGGGGTGTTCAAAGGGAGCCCCAGGTTCCCTGATATTGGAGTGAGGCAACAAATGAAGGAAAAAAGAGACTGTCTAGGAAGCCTGGCTAAGAGGTTGTCCAGACTCTGGCTGGGCTTCAGAAACATGACACATCCTTCTACACAGTCTTTCTGCTCTGTGGACTGTGTCCGCTGCAACAGGCCAGGCTGGAGACTACTCTGCCCAACTCATCAAATACTCCCTGTGTTGTGGGGGTCCCCGCAGGAGTCCTGGCTGGCAGTGAGATGATTCATGGAGTGGCAAGACTGAAACTCAGTTCAGCATGAGCTAGTTGGCTAAACTGGCTAAAACTACTGGAGTCCAACCCTGAGCAGTTTATTTTTTCCAATATCTAAACACAGTAAAACTTTGGAAGATAGTTTCCTCCCGATGATTATCACAACAAAGCTTAAGGCATGACTACACGGAGACTCCTGCGCAAAGTCCATGTCTTTTGCAAAGCACCCATGACTTCTTCCACAAGAATGGCTTCTACTGACTGAGAAACCATGCTCAGGGCAAGGGCCTAGGGAACAAGGGTTTGTAGGAAGCCTAATAGCAAACTCTTTTACAAAGTACATGGAACTTCCTTCATGAGGATGTGTTATGCTGACAGAAACAATGCTCGGGAGTCTGGGGGAGTGAGGGCTGGCTCCGTAAATAGCAAAAGATCACCAGTTATTAAACAGCATCCCCTCCAGCTTTCTAGGTGATCAGGGGTCAATTTCTTCTGCGTGTTTAACAGTTCTGGTGTCTCTGATGCGGTGCTAGCTATAGCATGCAGATCCCGTGTTCTTCAACACTGTGTTCCATTTCACCCAGACCCTGGATCTACCCTTTAGAACCCTTACTGCAGGGGCTGGGGGAGGGTTGAGTGAATCAAGTGCTTGCTGTTTAAGCAGGAGGACCAGGGTTTGGGGCCTTGGAACCCACACAAATGTCAGGTAACCACGGTGACCTGTAACTCCTGCACTCAAAAGGCAAGGACAAGGTATCCCTGGAGCAAACTGGCTAGTTAGTCAAACCCATATCTGAGATCTGAGAGCTCTGGGCTCAGCTGAAAGACCCTTCCTTAATGAATGAGCTAGAAAGTGATGGAGGACCATCCCTGATGTCAACCTCAGGCTTCCATATGCACCCATGCACATACATAACCCTACATTCAAACATCCAACCACACACACACACACACACACACACACACAGAGAGAGAGAGAGAGAGAGAGAGAGAGAGAGAGAGAGAGAGAGAGTGCTTTTCATTTCTGATCACAAGACTCTTAGTAGAGTTCTGGTGCAGGAGAGAAGGCCTCTAGCTGGCCCTGGAGGAGGATTTTGCAGATTGCATGCCTGGAGGCTCATCACCATATACTCCCCCAGTTCTGTGCTAGGGCCTGGATTCCCACTAGGAATAAAGCATAGCCCTCGTGGGCATCCAGAAGAGTGACAGGTGTGCCAGCACCATGTAGTAAGTAACAAAACTGGAGGGAGCTAGGGGTGGTGGCATCCTTAACATGAGTTTTTAATGTCAATGTTTTCAAGATGACTCAGTGCAATTTTTTGGGAGTCCCTCCTATTTTGCAAGTTGATCCTTGGACCCTGTCCTGTTTAGCTTTAATTGTCAACTTGACATAGCCTAGAATTGTTTAAGAGAGAATTGAGGACTTGCCCAAATCACATTGGCCTGTGGCCAAAACCATGGGAGATCGTCTTGATCGTTAGCTGATGTAGGAGGCCCAGGCCACTGTGAGTGGTGTCATTCCCTAGGAAGGTGGTTGAAGATGATGTAAGAAAGCTAGTTGACGATGCGCTTGTGAGTGACCCAGTGAGCAGCATTCCTCCAGGATTTCTGCTTCAAATGCCTGGCTGAGTTCCTGCCCTGACTTCCCTCCTTGATGGACTCTGGCCCAGGAGTGTGAGCCAAACAAGCCCTTTCCTCCCTTAAGCCGCCTCCAGTCAGAACACAGCCCCCATATATTTTGCATTTTTTGAGGAAGAAACTTTTGCT